GGGGGGTGCTCGGCTGGCGGTGCGGTCGAGTCGCCTCGCTGCTGGCTGGAGCTCGCCTGAGAACCCCACGCCGCGCCACGCCGCGCCGCACCCGTACCCGCGGAGTAGCCGGCGGGCCCAGCCCAGCCCAGTCAGTTAGTCAGCCAGTCGTAGTTTAGGCCTTGAGCGCGCCGGACCGCTGCTGCAGGCGAGGCGTGACGTGTGACGCTGCGAGCCGCGTCGTCGTCCACCTCAGCGCCTCGTCGCGTCCCGCCGCGACACCCGAGCAGGGCGCGGCATGTGCGCGCGTGTGTGAGTGTGGGTGTGAGTGCAGCGAGCAGAGCAGGTGGATTCCGCAGTGCTCTCGGCCCGGCCCGTGGCCGTCGAGGAGCTTCGACCAAGTGCATCGACCCACCAGGTGCCAGCGCCAGCCAGCGCGGGCCCGCCCCGCCAGCGCAGCACGCAGCAGTATCTTATCGCATCAGGGACCCCGACAACGGGCTGACCGACGGCGTCCGCGGCGTGGAGCAGGAGGACTGAGGACGGCACAAGGCAGAAGGCACGACGGCAGGAGGGCGTTGTCTTGAGCGCCAGGCGGGCTGACCGCCAGCCAGGCAGGCAGGCAGGCAGGGAGGCAGGCAGGCGGGGAGCTCGGCAGGGCCCGCCGCGGTGAGGTGGTGGGGGCCAGCAGGAGAAAGGAGCAAATCAAAACATCCAAGATGGCGGCGGTAAGCGCCGCCGCGGTCGTCGCCGCCCTGGTGTCCGTCGTCCTGGACGCGGCCGCCGTGTTCGGCCAGGTGCTCCCGGGCGGGCCGCCGCCGGGACTCAACAGGGGCGGCGTCTACGTGCCACCCAACCCCGGCGACGCCAACTACAGGACCTACATCTACAACGACCGACGCTACGGCTCGGCATTCCCGGCTAACTACAATCCCTACGACCCCTACGCACGGGACCCGTTCCCCAACCGGAACCCCTTCGACAACCAGAACCCCCAGGGCGTGTACAACCCCAACTACTTCAACCCGGACCCCAACAACCCCAATCAGCCGGTGAGTAGAGCTAGTTGTCGCACTCGGCACGTGTTGTTCATACTACGATACTTGTCGGAAATGAAGTACCTATCCCAGGTGGCAGAAACCTGTGCGCTTATATGGCTATATCATACCGCACGCTGCCAAGCGGGCGGGCCTGCCTATCAAGCCCCTTGGGGATCATTCAGAAAGTACGCCCGTCATTCGCCGTCAGGAACCTGTCAAGTTTAGCCCCCTGCAAGCTCTCAAAGCGCCTGGCAGGTAGACAACTTCTTGCCTGCAGTGCATGTGTGTATTGCGGGGTGGCCTACCTTGAGTCTCGCAGGCGCCGAGCCTTCGAAATTTGCCCAATGATTCTGTGAAAACAGACGTACTTTCTGACTTGACTTGGCTAACCGCGAGGTCCGAGGTTTTTGATCCGACCGAACGATCCCTGAACCATGGCGCGTTAGGCGCTGAGCGAGGGGACGACCCCCCCCCCCCCCCCCGTACGCCGGGATGCGGTGCAGTAGAACTGCAGGAGTGCGCTGAGTCAATCATTTAAGTCAAGTCCTCAACTTGTTCGAGTCGTCTCGCGTCTGGCTCCGGACTGCTGACTAGTGACCAAGCTCACTAAGGAGTGAGCTAGTAAACTTTTCCTTGGCCGTCGTCACTAGTATAAAAAGTAACTGTCAAACTAAGGCAAAGTTTGGCGGGCTAAAATATGAATGCATTTCGCCTGTTTTCAGCCCTTAAAAGTTTCCTATATTGGTGGCGTTTATACGACAAGCCCGCATCACAGAAAGTGAGCCTAAAATGTCACCCACAAGATGGTGTACCGAGTGCTTTCTTTGCTCGCACAAGTCTATGCGGGTTTGCCCAATTTGTTTTTCGTTTCTGTGCGAGCGGCACGAGGCAGAGGGGAGTGGTCGCGGGGAGTAGAGTCGCTTCTGAACTGAGCTCGCTCCGCCGTTGTCTCATCAGAGGAAGACTCGAGCCGAGAACTCTACTCGCCCTCACTCGGCGGGGCGCCGCCACCGCCGCTCGTACAAATTTCGGCAAATTAGCGCGAAAAAGGGCCCACCCACTCGGGTCGGTGGCGCGTGGGTGCGAGGCCGTGGCGCTGGCGCGGTCCTTCCCAATCCTCGCGAGCGCGGGGGGGAGAGGCCACAAGTGGGTCAACCTTATCGCCCGAGGTTGCCCAGGAGATGTGCGGCGCGGCGCCTGCCGGGGGCTCAG